GGTGGGTGCTATCGGGCTCGCCGGGGGTCTCGTGGATGTCGAAGGTTAGGTAGAAGGGACGACCGATAATTTGGTTGGCGGGGAACGTTCCATATTTGCCCAGGAATACTTGGCTGCAGAGGTTCTCGGTCAGTTAAGAGTGTAGGACGAAAACATATTGAGCCCATTTGCTCAGATGGGGCAGGCGCGCGCGCATACGTGTTAGGGACAATCTTTTGGATCCTCGTCTGATCGGACGGGAGCTTGAAGGCGACGAACTGATTCGGTCGCACGTAAGAATGCATGCTGGGTGACGGTGGTGGGGGGGGAGGGGGGAGGAAGCTTTCTCAATTCATCAAATTCAAGATTCAACCGTCCCGAATCAGACACGCAATGAGGAGATGAATTAAGTCGCGATGCTAGACTTCTGATAAGCCTACTTGATCTGGGGGGTTCATTTCACTTTTTTCCCGCGATAACGCACGGACCCCACGAGCTTGTGATAATGCATGGGTTATGTAAGCTCTATGCTGCGGGCGGCAAAAGAAGTTTTTCCGTGGCCGGCGGCAGCAGCCCAAGACGTCATCGCGTGGCTCGTGGCTTGTGAGATGTGGCTTTGCAGTAGGTATAGTGGCTGTGCTTCCGGTGGAGATTGTGTCAGTGATTAGTGTACCACATTACCATACAATACACGTTGCCTGGACAGCGCAGGAGATCCAGGCAACCGAATTGCTGACCCGTGTGGTAATTGGCTGTATGTGCTGGAGTAATTGGAATCTCCACCGCCCATTGACAGCCATCCGAGGTTGACGTTAACCGTTCTATTCATCTATGGGAATTCGGGTGCCTGTGACCCTCGCTCGACTTGTTCTGCTGTGCTATCCCTGTCAGCTGCTGCTTCCAAGCTTACGCATTCAATTGCATCGTCCTCTGCCGTATCCCTGGTCTAATGCGCAGGACTATGGTCGTGGACTGAAGTTGTTTACTGCTCCAGTGACGAGGTTTGGAGCTACTGCCCCCGTTACGTATACATCCCCCGGTAGCTTCAACCACACGCTGTCGGCGTTCCCCTTCCCATCATCCATCCATCCATCCATTCATTCATGCATCGAAGGTGTCTGACTGCACCTGTCGTTTCTTTGTCACCAACTCAACTAAAGTTCACTGGCCTCTCACTTCTGCCCATACTCATTCTGCCAGTAAAACTCATTGGCCCCCAAGCTTGTCCAACGTTTCATCGATTGACGCCCGTGAGCCCGGCCGGTCACCCCCCCCCCAAAGATCTGGACGGCAAGAACCCGCCTTCATGGTCCTGCGAAAACGAGCTCCGCCACGTCTCCAAAGTCTCGGCCAAGCCTACGATCCCTCAGACCCTCGTTATCTGTCATCTAAAACCTCACCAACCTCCAAGTCATTGTCGTCCTCTTCCCCCAAGCGTCTTACCCGCCCTCGAAGGGCCCAAAGCACCCCCCAACCTCAGCGAGCCGCTTCCCCCGACTCCATCTTCTATCCCGACCTCAACACTTCACCGGCATTTGACCTGATGCCTCTAGAACAAGCGCAGAAGTCTCCAACCAGGGCCTCTCCCGGTGATGCCACAAATGCATGGGCGGATGAGCTCGTGGAGAGGTTCAACCTTGGCTCACATGATTCTTCCGGTCTAGCGCAACCTGCGCCAGCTGTGCCGGCTGCAAACGGTGCGCAGGCAACAGAAAGTAGTAGGGTCGCCCGTGTGCCGACAGTCTTGACTCCCGGCGCTCATGGAAGACCCCATACAAACGAGTGGCAGCAGCCACAACATCAACATGCTGGGAATGGCTCCGAATGGGATCCGCACTCGGGCCAGCATTCTTCTATGCCGCTGCAGTCCAATAATCCGTTCCTTAAGCCAAGGACACCTTCCGGGGCGAACCCATGGGAAGATCCCCAATCCCGTGCTTCATATGGTGAAACATCGTCGATCTCACAGGACGGGGCAAGTGTCCGCTTGGGTCAAGGTAGGTCTAACCAGAGTGTTCTGTCCGTGGCAATAGCTCTAACGGCGTTTTCGCTTAGACGAAGGCTATATTCCGATGACCGCACGCTTGTCGCTCTTGGAACAGCCTGACGAGACGTCCCCGTGGGCTGACGAACATACTAACACTGCCACGCAACCCGCGCCACATTCGCAAGTCCAGCCTGCTCAGCATTTGCACGAATCAGGCAGGCTGTTGCCAGATAGAAGCATCAGGACCCCGGCATCTTTGAATACCAATGCTACGGGCTCATCTCATGTTCTTATCGACGTGAACGATGCTCCAATCCCGCAGATTGGGGAATCAAGCCGGTTAGGTCCTACGGAATATGGAATCATGGACGCATCTCCCGATATGTCTCAGCCACAAAAGCGTCTTTCAGGTCCACCTTTACCGGAACGACCGAAAACGACATCCGAGCCAACTGCAGAGACCCATGCTCAGTCGGCACTAACGGCTCCATTAACTGAAACTGAAATGCAGCGCCAACAGGAGCAAAGATTCGAGACCTACTCCATTCGGCATGTTCATTGGACGAACACGACAGGCAACCTCTGCGACTCGCCAGTTCTGGTACAGAATAAGAATGGCCCATGTCCTCTCTTAGCACTAGTGAACGCCCTTGTTCTACGTGCAGCAGGGCAAGAAGTCCAGCCACCCATTGTACGAGCTTTACAGACTAGGGAGCAGATCTCCTTAGGGTTGTTGATAGAAGCATTGTTTGACGAGCTTACGACATGCTTGGGCCCGAACGATGAGCTTCCGGACATCGAGGCTCTCAGTCGCTTTTTGACTATGCTACACACCGGCATGAATGTCAATCCACGACTCACATTGGTATGAAGGCTGTTTTTTTCCCCTACTTAACCCATTCTCACAAAGCCCGCAGGAGTCCGAACATAGCCTCGGCACTTTTCTTCAGACCGATGTTATCCGGTTATATGGTACATTCGGCATACCATTGGTTCATGGCTGGGTAGCCCCTCCATCTACGGAAGCCCATGCGGCCCTGGACCGGGTAGCTCAGTTCTACGAGGATATTCAGCTTCTTCCCTTTCGTATGCAGGAGCTCGAAGATCGGGTCATCCAAGGGGGCTCGCTAACTCCTCAGGAGGAACAAACTATGCAAGATATACACACCATCCACGGGTTTACCGATGTGGAAAATGCAACTCAACTGAGTCTTTTCGGCCTCGATCAATTGCTGGCAAAGTTGCAGCCGGGGTCACTGTCCATTCTATTCCGCAATGACCATTTCACAACACTCTACAAACACCCGCAGCTCAATCGGTTATTCACACTAGTCACCGACGCCGGCTATGCCTCTCATGCGGAAGTCGTGTGGGAGAGCCTCGTTGACGTAAATGGGTCAAATACCAGTTACTATGCCGGAGACTTCCGCCCTGTCAGCCATGATGCTCCTAGTGCGTCTGATCCCTCCGGTCCACGAACCTCAAGCAATCCGAGAGACTCTCTACCAGTGCCTCCAGAACGACAAAGTGCCAATCTCACTCCTCAGGAACAGGCGGACGCTGACTACGCTTACGCCCTGTCCCTGCAGTATCAGGAAGAGGAACAGAGAGAAAGCACTGCTAGCAATGACAGAAATCCGACCCATCGCGCCTCCATGTCCAACGCCTCCACTGGTGTATCCCGCGAGTCAGCCTATGCTCACGATCGCTCATCCAGTGGTGTCAACGTCAGCAACACTGGCAGTGGAGGCTCGTACGCAGCAGCTGCGCGAAGCCAGCCGTCGCGACAAAGTCAGGGTTCGGGACGACGCTCGCAGACACGCTTGACAACTCATCGTCCTGTGCACGACGATGAAGTCCCGCCACCTTCATACGAGCAGGCCGCCAGTAGCCCAATCTATCCGTCGCCTCAACGAAGCGCCGTCAACTCCACGGAAACGCCTTACCCACGAACCACGGCTGGAAGGCGACCCTATGGAAACTCCATCTCGGCAGGGTCTGCAGAGCGCGCCAGAGACCGGAATAAGGACTGCGTGGTCATGTGAGAGCCTTCCTCTCATTGACACATACTATTAACACGACTTGAAATCCACTCTCGCGAGTGGACTTTAATCTCGGATTCGACGATAAGACCCTGTGAAATGACTGATGCTCTTATGTAATATATGAATACTGCTGTTTGTGATTCTGCTAGATGACTAGCACACGGCAGGCTTTGTGTTCTGAGGCTTGATATGACCTTTAATATGTATTTTGTGGATTGCAGTGGCTATAAAGGGAGGAATGTTGTTTTATAGCCTCCAAGGGGCTTGACTTTTGTCCCGGATTCTATTTTCTTGTTCAGTGCTCGGAGTTGTACATAGCGAATAGCGTGAGGCGCTTTGAACTGATGATTTATGATACATGAAGCGAGAGTTTTCCAGGCAAGAGGAGTCCCTTCCTGGCGAGCCTGCGAACGAAGTCCTGGGCTATGAATCAAGACAGGTAAACCTCTCGTGCGGGGGAATAGAGTATACCTCTAGGCTAGATGACCTGACATTACCCCAATTCAAAGTAACCCCAGCTAGCCGACACAAATTCGTTGGGCATCATCCCTGATCCGATCTGATTAGATCCCATCCCCTTCGCCTCCGAAGCTCCCCACGTTCGCGTTCGACGCGGGCGCACCGGAAAGCTTCCCATTGGCTTGAGTATCTATGAAAGTGGATTCTCGCGTTTGATACCTACAGCAGGTAGCATGGCCTTTCGACAGAGCGACGAGCGGTAATTGGGCTGTGTGTCGAGTTGGTGTTTGAATTGAACACAGGGAGAACTATCAATTTGGGCTCGAACAGCGCTAACGACATAGACTAGATCGAGTTATCAACAAACACCTTGATTCCACAGGATGATTCCACGGAATATACAGCCTTGTCCTCAGCAGTGGGTTAACGAAAAGTGCAAGCTTAACCTTCCCAGAAAAACAGATGAAAAGAGAAGAAAAAGATGTTCCTTTGTTATTTATCCTTTGTTCAATGGGGGGACAGACTATGGGTCAAAGATCTACTATCGTGCAGCGGCCCGTCTCGCAGACCATGAGATGATTCTTCGCCGGGTGGGACGGCCGCAACTCTTTGTACAGGGGGTTGCGCGTCCGCAGCCAGAAAGACTGGTTTCCTACAAAATCTCCTAGATGAGAGGGTCGGATATCCACAAGCGAGACGGTCGTGGTCGCCGTCGATAATGTCGGGCCGGCCTCGGCGCGGAGCTTCTTTACCAGGAGATCGCGGGCGGCAATCGGTTCCTCGGCGCGGCTGGTGGTGGTGGTGGTGTCGTTAGATGATGCTTGTTGTGAGCTGCTGCTCCTGCTGCTTGGCCCCAGCGGGATGGCTGCTGTGCTGAATACACCCGTGATGTTCCGCGTTCCTGTCTCCAAACCGACGATGGCGTCTAGGAGACCCACAAATAGGAACGGGTGCTGCAGAATCTCTACTGAGAACGAGCGGCAGGTCTGTCGGGCAAGGGTACGATATCCCTCCTCCTCGAAGAGACTTGCGAGGCGCAGCAAATTGCGCGCAATGACGCCGTTGATGGATGGTGTAGCTGACTCGGTTCCGGTTTTCAAGCGTAGGAGAGGGCCTGGCGTGCCTGGTGTCATGGTTGAAGGGGTGCTATAGTAACCTGCGGGTGTGGAGCCAACGTATGCGAGGAAGTTGTCGTTGAGATACTCTTTGATATGATGTGTTAGCGAGCCAGGTTATTTTCAACATTTACCAGGCACTCACTCTGCAATTGGTCGGCGAATTGCAAGAAGCTGTCGTCGAAAGTCGCCTCGTACATATCCAACAGTCCACTTATCAAGTATGCATAGTCATCGGCGAAGCCAGGGGTGGTCCCCCGAGCTCCGTCGCGGTAGATGCGCCATAGCTGTCCCGTCGACTTGTCGAACAAGTTTTCCTTGATGAAGTTGATTGCCTTGGCTGCCGCCTCCCTGCACTGTGCTGCCTTCGTGTTTTCGATTTCTTCGAATAGTGCACTGCACTTGGCGAGTGCCCCGATGGCAAGTCCGTTCCAGGCAACAATGACCTTGTCATCCAAATCCGGACGTACGCGAGTCCTCTCCCTGTAGTCGCACAACTTCTGCTTTGCAGACTTGATAATCCTGACCACCTCGTCTTCGCCGAGACCAAACTCCTTGGCCAATTTGCTAGGTGTCACTTTGACTGCTAGCACATTCTGGTTCATGAATTCATCATGCGGGTCGTTCTCGGGCGGGATGTTGCCATCGGGCAGAACGCCCCAGTGACGAGCACAGACCCCAGCATCTCGCTGACCGAGTACCTGAGTCAGCTCTTTCAACGTCCAAACATAAAATGCGCCTTCACGCTTCTCGGTGTCATTGGGCGTCGGGAGACTGTCCGCGTCTTCAGAGGAGTGGAAAGCGCCTGCTAGTGACTGGATCGGAGCCGATGTGAGATAGCTGACCAGGTCGTACACAGCCCCCAGTAACTCAGGATTATGAGTGATCTTGAACGCGTCTACATAGACGTCCAAAAGCTGTGCTTGGTCGTACAGCATCTTCTCGAAGTGAGGTAATCCCCAGTTGGGGGTAACACTATACCGCGCAAAGCCATGCCCGATATGGTCTCGAATTCCTCCACGCGCCATGCTAATAAGTGTATGGACTGCCATGGCGGTCGCCCGCTCACACTCGTCCTTCCCGACAATGTCCGACACCTCAGTTGGATAGATTCCCAGACGCAGCAAAAAGGCCAAGTTAGAAGGTGTGGGGAATTTAGGAGCCGTGGAAAATCCTCCATGTACAGGATCGTATCGGGAAACGAAATGCTGATAGGCCTCCTCCAACAGCTCAATGTCCAGGTCTTCATCCGCTTGTCGATCGCCTTGGTAAGAATGTGTGCCCTCCTCAGCGAATTCCCGGAGCTGTTTGGTAATTTCCTTCGCACTCTCGAGGCACCTCTGCTGTTGCGTCTGCCAGACATCCCGGAGCTTTTCGAGGATTTCGACAAATCCGATCGTCTCGTTTCCTGTCAGGGTGGAGGAGTTGGGGCCGGGCCAGTATGTCCCGCCAAAAACAGGTTCAAGATCCGGAGTAAGGAAAACATTCAAGGGCCAGCCGCCCGATCCGGTGGTTGCCTGGACATAGTTCATGTAGACATCGTCAACATCGGGTCGCTCCTCTCTGTCCACCTTGATTGGGATGAACGACTCGTTTAGCACTGAAGCCACTTCGTGGGACATGAAAGACTCCTTCTCCATAACATGACACCCTAATGCGGGTTATTATTTCAGAAGAACAATGTGACCAAGTCTTAAAGCGAGAGACAAGGCTTACAGTGACATGCCGAATACCCGATGCTCAGAAAGATCAACCGGTTATGGCGTCTGGCCAACTCGATGGCTTCTGTGTCCCAAAGCTGCCATGCTACTGGATTGTTCATATGCGCCCGCACCTATTAATGCGTCAGTAAGGACAGACGGCTTCGATTTGCGGATATTTGACGGACGTAAGGTGATTTGCTGTCCCGCAGTCGATTGACGAGCTTCGGCCCTGCGTCGGCCAGATTATGGTGCATGCCTGACGGGGCAGCCATGTTGAGGCCGTAAGACATTCACGTGGGACTAGGCCTTTCACCAGTCAATGGTTTGTCAAGATCTCGCACTAGATAGGCAGCCTGCTTGCAATGCGCGCGTGTTAGAAAGCAGCTCCAGGCAGCCGATAAGATATCACCACTTGGCCGTTATAGCAGGCTAACAGATGGCAGGGAACTAGCGGGGGATAAGAAGAGTGAGTGACAAACCAGCTGCAAGCGATCTGATCCAGAGACCAAGCAATATCCAGCGATCGATCGAAGAGTAAATGTAAACGGAGTGATTCGGCAGACAGACAGGCAAGCAACGGATGAGGGGAGAGGGGAACGAGGGAAGAAACGCATGTGCCCGCGTTACTAGTCAGTTAGTAACATCACTAGTCCGCCTGGCCCGCATCCGGGAGATCGTCGCCCGTGCGTCATGGACTCGCCCCTGCATGGTCACGTGGACTGTGGTTACACCTCAGCATTTGACCTGGGACTGTACGCTACAGCTGATTCTACTGACTTCGGTACAGTACACTACTTTACTCGATATCAGTCCATTAATCATATCGCTTGGAAGTTTAGTCGTGACGGTCATTCTTGGAGTAGTCTCATAGAGTAGTCTCAATCCTCGCCCATCAGCTCGGCAAGCTCCCGCTCCTCCTCTTCGGTAAGCATCGACCCGGGGTTGGTGGGCTGCTCTTCATCCTCGGTCGAGGTCTTTTGTGCCATGGCTACTGCCGTCTGAAGCTCATCGGGCTTCAGAGACCACTGTCGGATAGTAGCATCTATACTGACACTGACGATTGTTGTACCCACTAGTACTAATCCTGTCACTTCTTCGTAATGTCCAGAGAAGGTGTGGTAGAGTTGCCCGGTCTGTTTCATTTGGGTAAGCAATAGTCAGGTCAACGCAGCAATCTCAGGAAATAGAGACATACCGATCGATTCCATACGCGGACCTCTTCATCACGGCACGCTGTGACCACCCACCCACCTTGCTCGTGAACCACAACATCACGCACATAGTCGGGATGATCCAGGGTTGTGTTGGGCTTCCAGCCGTCGTCTCGACTCAAGCACTTGGTAGTCTTGTCGGCTGAAGCAGTCCATAGATCGGCATCCTGGTCGAAGAACAGTTTATGCACGTTGGTCTCGTGAGCCAGGATTGCAGCGGTACCGGTTAGGTCTTGGCTGCCCTTAGAGATGTCGAATTGTCGAATCTCTCTGTCGCTTCCAGCACTGAACACAATCGGCTCTGGACTGTCCGAGTCCAGCGAGATGGGATCAAAGGCCAAATCTTGAATGCCCTTGGCGTGGCCTTTCAGCACGGCCAATCGTTGCCCAGTCGCGATGTCGGACACTATTATTTGCGCATCGGCGCCGCCCGAAACCAGAACATCTTGTCCACGTAGTCTCGTGCTGATGACGGACCGGACAAAGTCCGTGTGGCCTTCATAGCGCAGCTTGCGTTCCTTTGTAGTTACATCCCAACTCCAAACGGTCTTATCCCAGCACCCAGCGAACAATAGTCGGCCGTTGGGCGAAAAGCATAGACTCGTAATCGGTGCAGTTGGGCCCTTGTAGATGGCTGCGGTTTCTCCGGTCTAACACATTTTTAGCCACGGTCCTCGTAATACGGCTGTGCCATGCACCTACTTCGAGTATGACCTTGCGCACTGTTCCACCACTCTGAGCCACGAAGACGGCGCTGTTGTTTAAGGGATCAGCAGCGACGGCCAGAATCTTGCTCTGGAGCCGAATAGGGTTTCCGTTGGTATTTTGTGACTTGGCATCCTTGCGTTTTTGCTCATCAAGGGAAGCTCTGCAGCCGGAAGGAATCAGCGAGGGGCATGCGAACCGCAGCTGGGCAGCGATAAGGAAACGAACGTGGTTTGAAAGAAGTCATCGCGATGACTTGATTGAGCCATTGTGAAGCTTGTGACAGGTACCAGATAAGAAGAAAACACTGGGTTGTGATCAATTGAGTTTGATGAATGTGATCACTAGCAATCATCATCATCACGACCCACGGTACCATGACTAAGCTTCAGCTGCTTTCCCCGCCCCTCACGTGGTTCCTTTTGGGCAAAACTGGCGAAGGAACTGCGCGGTGAGCTTCTCGCGCTCACCGGAGCCCCAACCTTTCCCACCCACAAAACCGGCTTCTTCCGTTTTTCGACCTTTCCTCTTCCTTCTTCCTTTCACTTCTCTGCCCTTCTCTCTCTTCCCCAATTTTCCTATATCTTCACCTCTCCCTCTTTCTTCCCCTTGTTCCTTTCTCTCTTTTTCTGCGCGTCAATCGCGCAACTCTCCCTCTCAGCATGGATATGAACCATTTAATAGGGTCAGTCTTCTATGCCTACCTACTGGTGTGATCCAGGGTTTGTTCGGCTAGGCGGGAGTTAACACCTGGCAGTCAGCGGTTCAACCTGATCTCCAAGAGTGACATTCGGTATGTGCCACCTTTCCAACCCCTTCTGGTGCTTCTCCTGCTCCGGCTCCGTGCTCGCATCCATTGCCCTCGGAAGCATTGGCAATGACTGTTCGTACTGACAGCTCCCCGCTAGCTATGTTGGAACCTTGCATGAGATCAACCCTGAAGCGTCCACAATAGCTCTGGAGAATGTCGTCTCTTTTGGAACTGAGGGCCGTCGAGGCAACCCAGCTGAGGAGATCGCCCCGTCTGCCAGTGTTTATGAATACATTGTCTTCCGGGGCAGCGACGTAAAAGACATTAGCGTAGCGGAGGACAAGAAAGAAAATGCACCATCTGAACCTCCTCAGGTCCCTGATGATCCTGCCATCCTAGGGGTAAGTTTGCTCAACACACACTCTCCATTCTCACCCTCTCATCACCTCTGGTGTTGGTGTCCTCCGGACACTCGATCTTATGATGAAATATTTCGGATGTAAACACAGACCTGTTCTGAAAGCGCAAAACCGTGTGGATTTTTCCGTTGCCTTCCTTCTGACAAGATCAAAACACCTTACCCTTGGCCCTTGCACAAGAAAACACTGCTCTATGATGCAAGAATACTAACGTGTCAATTGGTGTAGAGCATGTCTCGTCCAGGTCCAGGTCCTCAGGGCATTCCTCCTCACTCCCAAGCACAGCAACCTCCTCGTCCGGCTCCTGGCTATCCCCAGCAACCTCAGTTCCAGGGCTTCTACCCTCCCTATGGGCAGCGCTTTGGGGCTCCTGGTTTCCCTCCTGGGCCCGGATTCCCTAATATGCCGTACGGAGCCCCTCCCCCAGGATGGTACCCTCCCCCGGGTCAAGGATTCCCTCAAGGACCAGGCCAGTTTCCCCCTCATCAGATGCCTATTGGACCCCCTGGTCAACACCAGACCCCTCCGCCGCAGCGTCAGGGGGCGCCTGGTGCGGGCCCTGTAAACGTTCCTAAAGCCACCTCCGAGCTTCCCGTTGGTGAACGGCCCTCCAGTAAGCCCGCCAGCCGGAATGCCACGCCTGCACCTGCTGCTGGTCAGAACCCTCCTCCACCCCCTGTTGAATCGAAACCTTCCGTAATGGAAGCCGTACAAGCCTCCAGTATTCCCGCGACGGCGGCGGCGCTTCCGGTTACATCCAAGATACCACCCACCGGACCCAGGAGCGGACGTGTGCAGCCGGCCATCCCGATTGCTACGCACTCTAAGCCGCCAGTCCCAGCTGTAGGCCCTTACCCCGGTGCTGGTGTGGGAAACAATGTGTCGCAAGGTACTGCTGCTCAGGCGGCCATTACTGAAGCCACTCGGGCTGCCACTGCTGCTGTCGCGGCTGCCATGGCTAAATTGCCTCAACCCAGTGCACAGAAGGCTCCTGGTCATGGCGAGGCGTCTGTGGACGGCATGACAAAGCAGCTCGCTGAAATGAAGCCTTACGAAGGAAGCCGAGCTCCTCGCGGCGGTCATCCACACCCACGGGGCGGACGCGGTGGTCACCGCGCTCCTTATCAGGGCCAGGCGAAGAAGGTTGAAGTTCCTGACACCGACTACGACTTCGAGACCGCCAATGCCAAGTTCAACAAGCAGGACCTGGTGAAGGAAGCGATTGCTACTGGCTCTCCGGTCCATGAAGCCGAGGCTGCTTTCCCTGAAGGCGAGGACGAATATACCGATAAGTCTAGCGCGGATAATGTCAACTCGTACAACCGGGCTACCTCCTTCTTTGACAACATATCGAGCGAGGCTCGCGATCGGGAAGAGGGTACTGGTGCTCGTGCCGGCGGCCGTGAGTGGCGCGGTGAGGAGGAGAAGCGGAACATTGAGACCTTTGGTCAGGGCAGCGTCGATGGTTATCGGGGCAGCTATCGTGGCCGTGGCAGAGGAAGAGGCTATGGCCGTGGCCGCGGAGGCTATGGTCGTGGATACAACTCTCGTGGCCGTGGCGGTCTTCGTGGTGGTCGCAATGCCTCCCAGTCCACCGGAGTGCCTACGCAGATCTAAATCGTCCCTTTGGTTTTGTCTTTTCATGACTGTCCAGCAGCAGTTCATTGTATCATGCGCTTAGCGATTATTGTTGCTATTCTTTTCTCTGAGGAGTGGTTTATGTCCGTCCACGACTACTTTTTTTGTTTCTCCTGATATCCCTGGCGTCTGATGGAGCATCCAATGAATACATATATGGTCTTGACGTGCGGAAGGTCATGACTTTCGACTGTGATGGGATCCTTATGGGTTACGGTGGATTTGGTGAACTATGTGCTGGGATGGCTACTGTTACATCTGGTGTCAAGTTTGGCGTTCTTCATACTCAAGCATAGGCAGGTCTCGAACCTTCATTGCAGCGATCTTCTGGACGTGGGGAGTCTGTCACTATTATGTCTGATATCGTCACCTCACATGGGTCAATGTTGGAGGTTCTGGATATTGTCGGTTGGCTGCTCCAGTCTCCGTTGTGGATTACGTGCGGACAATGATTGAGCGTGGACCATCTTTGTATCATACTACTACGAGACATCATCTTTGATGATGAATTCAAAAGACCGAAAAAGGAGGCCTTCTGGCCTACCAACCAGTTTTCCCTTGTTGTAGTCTCGTGACGAGTACAGCACTTCGCTTGTAGATGCGCGGATACTCCGCCCCAACCATCCTCACCAGCCTGCCATGCTCCTTGACATCAACGGCAAAGATTCACTCTCTCCCCCCACCATGCGTCATTATTAATCTTAAGATTGGTGTATTAAAGCTTCGCAGCGGGGACGGTCGGTTCTTATTCGTGTTCCTCCGCCTGAACATTGGGTTCATTCGGCAATGTCCCCCTCACGAGCCTTACATATGCCTCGGCCAAGAACGCTCGTCATACCCGAAAGAAGCAGTGATGTGGAGCAGACGCGCCCATAAATGGGGACAGTTTCAGTCCATTCGGAGGGTATAATGGGGCTTCAGGTCTTGACGGTTCCACAAACTCAATCCACCGTGAGCCACGGTCAGTCGATTCCAGCAAGCGGGGAAAGCTATATATACTGTACACAAGACCTACCGCAGCCATGGGGTATGTTAATGAACGAATGAAGAAGGTCTCGGAGATCGTTGCGCCAACAACCTCTGCTGCGGGAGATCGTGCTACCAACATGTCTACTACGAGTACTTCTGAGCGGGTCCAAGCTCCCGATCAGCTCCCTTGGGATCCGAATTGCACGCGGTTCCCCACTCGCAAGGAACTGCCTAAGATTCCTGGGGCGCCGAAGGATGCTGCATGGGTTTGGGGGAAGGATGATCAGGTACTGTTGCTTGTTACTTTGTTACTCTGAACTGTTGTGCATCTTGAATTCCTAGCTGACCTTGTACACTGCAGCTCGGACGACTGAATCTGCTGACGCCGGCTCGAGTCAAAGCTGCAGCTGCGGAGATCAAGCTAGGGGAGATGATTCGACTTGAGTGAGTTTGGTCGAAAAGCGGTTATTGCCTCTACTCGCAGAGGGTGTACCCACTACCTGGCTCTGTACTGCAGAAACGCTGATGCAGCAACAGTCTCCCATTGCACATTCCGGAAACCCCGGCCTTCGACCGCGAGCCCTTCCAGCATCAGATCAAGGAGCTCGTCGAGGACGTGGTCTACGACGATACCTATACCCTGAACACGCAGAGTGGAACCCAGTGGGATGGATTCCGCCATGTACGCTGCCCTCTTTTGCTTGCTGGGGCTTCCTCATAAAGCCTTTGACTTGCGATCCAATGATCCTCCCATATATGCTAACCAGATGATCCCCCCAAAAATCTAGTTCGCCCACCTAGACACCAAACTCTTCTACAACGGGGTACGTTACGTACTGCACCATACACATCCACTCAACAAAACCAACAAACCAACCCTAACGCTCAACTCCAGACCAAATCCACAGACTTCCACCCAACCGACCCCAACCCCCACAAATGCAGCATCCACCACCTCAGCACGCACGGCCTCGCCACCCGCGCCATCCTCCTCGACTACCGAAACTACCACCAGACACGATTCCCCGAAAACCCCTACGACCCGTATACCTCGCACCCCATTACCCTCGCCGCTTTACACGCCTGCGCCCGCGCCCAAGGCATCAACCCCCTCCCCACATCCCGCGGCGGCGACATCCGCCCCGGGGACCTCCTACTCATCCGCTCGGGCTTCGTCGAGCAGTACCACACGCTCACCCCGGCCCAGCGCAGCGCCGCGGCGCGCCGCTCGCACGCGGATCTCTGCTGGGCCGGGGTCGCGCAGGACGAGGATGTGCTGACCTGGTTGCATGACTGCTACTTCGCGGCGGTGGCGGGGGATTCGCCGACGTTTGAGTGCTGGCCGCCCACGCGGGAGGACGGGCAGGGCGGGTTCATGCATCAGGAGCTGCTCGCGTGTTGGGGGATGATGATCGGGGAAATGTGGGATCTGGAACGGTTGGCGCGCCGGTGTCGGGAGGTGGGCCGGTGGACGGTTTTCGTGACGAGTGCGCCGGCTATGGTCTTTGGTGAGTTGCCCCTTTGTAATCTTGGGATTGGTTTTGTGGACCACGGGAGGTTGTTGGGGCGGGGGGTGTTCTTTGGTGGGAATGTGGGAGATGAGATGGGTGTGGGATGTGGAAGATGTTGGCTAACTATTTCATGTGTGTGTGTGTGTGTGTAGGTGGTGTTGGATCGCATGCTAATGCTACGGCGATCTTGTAAACTGGGAGTCTGTCCTTGGAATCCGGGGCTAGGGACAGGACAGTTGAATGAGGTATGTGCATGCATGCTTAGCGGCATAGCTGTGCGCCGAGGGATTGACAAAGGAGAAACTCAAGTATTCTTTCATTGGGCAGCAGTCATCACATCGTTACATTCATTAAAGAGTCAGGAAATGGACATAGGAAACGATTATCCTCCCCTTATCTCCATCGCCATACTAGACGAAGTAAGGGTCTCTCATGGTCAAGTCGACTCAAGAGGCGCATGTCATGTGCTGGTGCATGGCAATGACCAGCAGATAATACACCAAGACAAAACACGGACAACAGGGTATCAACTCCACCGCAACTTCACAGCCATCCCTAAAAAGCGAATCAAAAGAAATCCTCCGGCCATTGGAAGCTGTGAGCACCGCCGGAGCCCGACCGCTGGCCCGCTCCCACAGTCTCAAGCTTCTGTCCCAACGGCGACTGGGGCTGTGCCTGCGCCTTTTCGCGATCTCGCGCCTCCCGCTTCTTGCCCATCTCCTTCGCCAGCCGTCGGTCTACCTTCGCCGCTGTGGCAGACAGGTTCTTCGGGAGCGGTGGCACAGGCGGGATGTACTCGTAGCGAGCCGACTTCTTCTTACTAGGAGACGAATTGGGACTGGGGCTTGTCATTATCTCCCCGGATGCCAGAGTCGTCGTTGTGGCCATCTCCTCGGACTGATCCGCCTTCACCAGCGCGACGCTGCTGCTATACAGCTGCAGCTGCGCCTGCTGATTTTCCTTGTCGTGGTCATCCGCCTCACCCGGACTAGGCAGCAGTAGGCTCTCGCCCGCACTGGCTGATCGCAGATCTGGGCGGCCCTTCTTCATCCGCAGACTAGGTTGAGGCTGGGGAGCACGATTCCTGGAGTTGGAGGCGCGTCTATGGGCCGCCACTGCTGAAGGCGAGCGAGGGTTGCTGGGCGATGATCGGAGAGGGGTGGAGCGTCTGCGACCGCGTTCCTCGCTGGGGGTATTTGGGGAACGACTGGAGGCAGAATGCTTTCGCTCGACGGAGCCGGGGCTGTCGCCGGGACCCATCTTCGGCAGTTTGGGCTTACGAGGAGTAGGTGTGCGGGCTGTTCCGTAGTAGTGGCGGTGGCTGTCTGTAGAATGCGTCGATTCAGGCTGGATCTTTTTCAAGGATGCAGGGTCTGGCGACTTGCGTTTGAGGGTGGGACTGTCTGCGGTCAAAGACGATTGGAGCTGGGGATCCTTAGATGTTCGTGGTGTCATACCATCCTGTTGCTGCTGCGTACCGGTTATAGGCTTGCTTGGCGTGGTTTTCTGCTGCGCTTCGACAGCTTCGCTCTGGTGAATGTTCTCCACCAGGGAGATCAAAGGTGTAGACACGGCTCGAGAGGAGATCGGGGATTTCAACTGGCTATTGCTGTGCAACAACCGCTCCGATGGAAGCGAGGGAAGTGCGCCGGGGACAAATTTGCGAGAGTATGGTTTGTCGAGAAAGGGATTCGGTGCCTGCACTTCTTCTTCCTCGCCGCCAACCAGGTCGTGCAGTTCCCGACGCGCCCGTTGTAACTTGAGTTCCAGGTCGCTCACGCGCTTCAACAGCTTGGCCTGTCGCTGGAGCTCTTTGCGCGACTTCTGGCGTCGCACTTCCGCGCCCTCCGGCTGCTCCTCGGAGGAAAGCTTGTTTGAGTCCAAGCGTTTAATGTATGGAATGCCCAGGGATGACTTGGCTTTGCGCAGCTCCTGGAACGAGGATCGAATAGACCCTACAGAATCGTTCCCTTCTTCCGAGTTCTGTCTCGAATGATGTGCTATGGGCCGGTAAGTCGCTGGCTCTGGGATGGGATTCCAGGACTTGGGAGGAACTCCAGACTCCCCATCCAAGCTCCGTATATAGCTACCCTTGACTGTACCCTTGTAACCGGAGCGCTTAAGCTCCGCGTAGGCCCGCTCTGCCTGTGCAAGCGGATCATCCGGCTGTTTGTTGGCATCAGCATTGCTTTTCCACCCCCAAGCACCGAAGGGATTGAACGCGGAGGCGATCGCCTTTCCAAACCGGAATATCCCGGAGCCTCGTTGCTGGCCCGTCCCATTTCCACCGTGGCGTGCATCATCGCGCAGGAAGATACTCGGTGGCTTCTCGCTCACGCTGTCGCTCATTGTTCCCTCGACGAACCGCGATCGTCGGCCGCGACCGGACGCACCAGTCTGGCGACCGAACCGGCCAGCAGATCCCATCGACGTCCGTGGAGAGATCTTACCCACTGCCGTCTGGAACGGCTTCCGGTGCCCGCCGGTCTTGTTGCTGCTACCCGCAGCCCGTTGGACAGGTTGTTGTTGATTATCATTATCCTGTGATATTGGAAATTCCCCGCCGTTCTCCAACTGTAAAGGCCACTCATTAGACCGCCGTCGCTTTGCCGAATGAACGGACGGGGATCTACTCGGCGCGCAGGACGGATAGTTCGACTCTTCGGCATCGTCGAACCGACCGGAATCGTCGGACTCGGACTCAGATTCATCGGCGGTGGAATCCCTGATGGTGCGCGCATGTTTGCGACGGGGGCTCTTCTGATGTTGGTGGGCCACGTGGTGGTCGGCGCATATGGACTGAAGCGATAGTTCAAGCTCACGATCGGTCTCGAGCGTGTCGACACCCTTCCCCTCCATACGGTTGTCGATCGAGGCCTGGACGTTGGACAGAATAACAGAGGTTAATTTGATTCAAGCTTCGTTCAAAACCAGTCCAATCCTGGATGTCTGTGAACGCGACGGCAGAGGTGACACACCCGCTGCGCAAGGGAGGTAGACGCGCGCCACGGGCAGGACAAAAGCGTGAACGGTGCAGGTGGAATAGAAATCACAAGACAGGCTGGAAGCAAGAGAGTGGGAGGAACGGAGGGGTGAATTGCGGCACTTGGAACTAACCTCGACCGTGAAGTGTCCATGGGCGCGATCGGCCATCCTCACTGCGCTTGCTTGCTCACAATTCATCCATCCACTTTCGCACCGTCGGTCGGTCGCACACCTCCAGAATTACTCTATCGATCCAGAGTCAGATAGGCGCAGGTGCAGTCGATCTTATCTTTTTCCGTCAACACGTCAACAGAGATCCTGGAAGATATCATCTACTGGGCAAATAAGGGCAAATGACGATAGAAACCCGGGGAAGACCACGCGGGGGAGAGAAGTGGAGGAGAGAGAAAAGAAGCGGTCAGGCAGAGAAGGCAGCAGCAGCAGCAGCAGCAGCAGCAGCAGCAGCGGCGGCGGCGGCAATGACGAGCGAGGAGAGGACAAAGTGGATTGTTATCAGCAACCAACCAACATAACTGAACTTAATGATGGTTTAGTGTTCAATGTTTGTTGTTTACCTCGGGCGTTCCGGGTTTGTTTACATTTAAGGTAAGGCCATCCACTCATCACTCATGTGCCAAGCCCACTGCACCCAAATACACCTTCCCTTCCGTGTTTGGGATGACAATGCTTCATTTTCCATGGCCCGAGAGGAATGAATGTCTCATCATCTCTCATCACTTAAGTAGTCCCAGTGTTCTGGAATGTAGGATAGCCCCAATGAGATAGATCCCCTCCTGTAAAACTCCTGTAAGACTATTGGCATACCACAGCTTTCACAAATCTCACTAAGACATGCACTACATGTACATGGCATTTAGATGGGTTCGGAATGGTGACTACGCAGCTTTTTACAGTATAACTCAGAGAAAATAGAAGAAAGTTGATATCTGACGGCGTACTTCGGATGGCTATATTCATTTCTGGCCAGCCTAATGTAAGAAAACGAGATTCAATCCAGCCGACAGGTGACACCATCCCACTTGGTAATCAGAAATAGACAACAATAAACAAACATAGGGGGAATATGTATGGTGTGAAATCCAAGGTAGATCATATACAACAAAGAACAACGACGACGGAAAGACAAAAATAAACTGTGGTATAGACGTCATGTCTGCTGTCATGACAGCGAATCGAATGGAACTCCCTCAAAACCCTTCTCTTTTCGGACCAAATTGCCCTTCCAAAATCCTCGTTAAGTTAAAAGAAAATTATAAGTCATCCCGACGGGCTAGTTCGCCAAGACGCCGTCCTATATAAAGAAGTGTTCCCTAAATTTGCGGAGACAGAGAAAAGCGTGACGCTATAAACCCTGTCCATGATGAATCATAGCCGGAGAAATTTTAGTGACCATCCTGCCGTTGGCTCGCTTGTATGCTAGTTCGTCCCGGGACAGGCTGTACGATGCCTCCCGTCGGGCGTCGGAAAGCCGTCGCTCCAATGGAGGAGTGGGCTCTCGATCGGGGCGCATGCCGTTGTGCAGTGGGCGCTCGGCATGACCGAAGGATTCTTCGTGCGTTCGCTTGGCGAATGTCGGTCCAGAGCTGGTGTCCCACAATAGTCTTTTATTCTGGGCGATTTCATGAACAGGACTGGAAGCAGTGTTGTTCTGAGGCCGAGGCATATTGATGGGGATCTCGCCCGAAATCGCACTGATCGGCGGAAGAATGTTGCCGCTGCGTGATGGGTGAGTTGCCGTGTGCTGCGCGACTACTGGGTGCATTGGAGGATCGGAAGAACGTGTTTCAGTGGGTGACGGCGCTGGATGTGATGGGTCCAACCGGATAGGCGGTAAGTAGATCCGGTGCGCATCTTTCTCATGCTCGGTGCTGGTTGATGGATTTCTAGAATGCGAGTGTGTCGGATGAGCTGAGTAGGCAGCGACTGGCATTGATCCAGACGGCGGATTCCTTGGTATCTGAGGAGCGGAATATTGAGCTTGCGTCGACCCGAAGGAGAGATGCGATTGATACGTAGAATTCTGAGTCGCAAATGCAACTGGAGTGACAGGAGAGGGAGTGGATGCTGTAGTTGGAGCTGGAGCATGAGCAATAGGATGCTGGTAGAGTCGCGGGTTCTGGAAGCCGTATTCGGCCGCGGACGGACGGCGTGAGGCCTCAGGCCCATAGCCTTGATCAACGGTACCAATGCTTGTCGACCGTGGGCGTTCAGCTGGAGTCGGATAAGTGTCGGGGGTAGAATAGCGATCACGCCGGCTGCTCATCATCCTATCCTCATCATAGTCGTAATCATCGGATCCCTTGTCTCCGCGACGTCTCATACGGACATCGCGCCGAATACGGACACGGCAGCCTTGCTCCGCAATGATCCGACTGAGATGTGTGCTTTGTGTCAAACCCGGGAACTTCTTCGCGCTGAAGACTGTGAATGGGACTGATACGACCTCGAGGCGGAATTCGAGGAATGACTTTGGTATCGTCGGCTTTAATGGATTCGTCTTCAGCATTGGTGACGGGATCGGCACTCCCTCGTCCGCATCCTTGCTTTCCTTGGTTTCCTCATAAAGATGGAAGCTCAGCCGGTAAAGTCCTTCGTGACGCACCGATAGATCGGGAAAGATGAAGAATCCCGCCGGGAAGGGGCGGTCAAGATATGCCACTCCTGCCACGGGCACGCCTGTGAGGACGGGGAACGTTGGAGTCGGAGCAAGTCTACCCTGAGCCATTGGACGTGCGTTGTCTAATGTGGCGTAAAGGAAGAAGTTGGCGTTATAAGCGAAGGTGATGTCCGTACAAAGCGTGTCGTCGCTGGGATCAGATTCGAAAATTCGCAACTCAACCACAGGCGGCGGATCAACCGGACGGCGGTCGGCAGAAGCTATCGGAGACAATTTTGTCAGTATCTTCACAAACAAGCAATTCATATCAAGCGGATTTGGAGACGTACATTTGGCGCCTGCACCGCATGCTCTTGCCCGCTCGGGTTGTTGCATCACCGTAAGCTTGTATGTAAGCTTCTTCCCCTCACGAGTGATCCGGCTGACGGAGTGCTCCGTCTCGTTCACCGGGGGCGATAGAGGAGGTCTGGAAGCCATGATGAAGCACTAATGCAGATCTGATAACCTGAGAGAACGTTAGGTGACTGTTTGACCGACATATATTCCCAGCGATCTCTGATCGTTGATGAAGGAGAAGAGAACGAATGGGAGGACAAAAACTCACTATGAGACAACCATAGATGAAATGATGCAACGGAACGATGACCAAGTCGGAGACTGATACGCGCAGAAACCTTCCGGGTCCTCAAGCTGTATTATTATGTCTTTGATGTAGAGACTGCTGGTGGTAGATGAAAGAGTCACGAGCCGACCCTGCGGTTGAGTGAAACGGAGAGGCGTGGTAGGAGGAGGAGAGGGTGGAGGCGAGACGGGGGCAAACGAGAGGAATTCGCTGCAGCGACCGAGCCAAGGAGAAGGTTAAGAATTAGCAAATAAGTGTTGAAGCGGGCGTCGCAATGGGCGAGAAGAAAGAGGATTAAGAAAGAAAATCGAACTGGGGACAACTGCGAACTGGACTGGGGGAAGAACGACAAATAGCCCAGAGCGATTGACCCGTGCGAGTTTTCAAGGAGGATAGGAGGGGGAGGGGGGGAGTAAGTAACAGAAGAAGGAGGAGGAGGAGGGAAGAGGATGTTCAAGATGGGGATGGAGGAGGAGGATGAAGAAAGAGTGTGACAAGACTAGACCCGACTAGATTTCCACAGAGAGAGGGGGGAAAGGCAGAGAGAAAGGCAGAGTGGACGACCCAGTTGTGTACTGTATGTACTGTAATGAAGTAACTAAAACCAAGGAAGTTTACTAAACTAACTAAACTACCTCGCAGACATAGTACTAATTTGATTAAGGTAACTAAATCTAACTGGAACTGAGCAAGCCGCCGAGAGTGAACTAAAGAGGGGAGAACAAGCTGAAATGATACGTGGACCATCACCACAACTACCTGATCTACTTTTACTATGCCAGTAAAGTATGAGTACTATGTACGTAGAATACTGAGTTCTGGCTAATAATATAATTACCCTGCTTTCTGGATCGGGCGGCCCACCTCCGGCTCTTCGGTCTGATGAATGGCGGAAATGGATGGTATCGTATCATCCCTCATCATCCCTCATCATCCCAAAAACTCTAATCCTACCAGGGGGGGCTGCAGAAGAGGAGGTGCAAGTTGGTACTAAGTATTCAGTAACGGGGGGGGGGCCGATGATAACAAGAGATAAACAATGCCTAGAAACGTAAAGCTTAGCAGCTGGGATTTACTCAAGAATAAATTATCTCTATCTATCAAGCCATCAAAAGTAAGTAAGTACTGTAAGTTAGCCGATTGTTC